AGTGACCAAACTCATGAAATGTTAACAGAAATCTTTAAATGCATTTTTGATTATAAATGAGTACTTAAGTTGGGATATAATATTGATTATCGTACGGCAAAATCCCAAAGATATTTCCGTCACGCCATCTACAAAAATTGACAGTTCGACCATCGATTTCGACGATGTCCCCCGTGTGCTCCACAGCAGGGCAAGAGAAGGGACGGTAACTTGCGCGTGAATTAGTTTAGAGCGATTTGAGACTTGCGATGCGTCTGTCACACTCTCCTCCGACCCCGTCCGTACCCGACGTCAAGAAAACCGGAAGCGGGAGAGGACGGTGACTGGTACGTCATGAACACGCATCTTGGCCTTCTACCACACCTCCTGGTCCACAACACACACTGACCAGGATTTTACACACAATAAGAAAAGAGGGAAATAGCTCGGACCCCACGGAGTAGGAGGGACATAGAGGTCACATTAAGAAGGAGCCATTACAACCTGGCACTCAGTTCACCAGTCCACCATTTCACGAAAACACACACTAGACTGACTACGAGGTTCGTTCTATCCCGTCACGGTGAGGAAAATGCGCCGAGAGGTCGACCTAACTCACTATTTCCACCCCCCGGCCCCAGCCACTGTCCGAGCCGGTCAGCTGACAGGTGCGGAGAATAGGCGCAGTGGCTGAAAGAGCCGAAAAACTCATCTGCGCGTGCCACACATACGACTAGGCCCCCTGTAGGTACACATCAGGATTTCACGCACATGAGTGTCTGCGAAAAAGTTACACTCTATAAAAATGACTGCATGCATGGTATGAATTTTTCCCATCGATTTTCAATGCCTTATAACTTTAGATACCTTTTTCTAGCAAACAGGCACAAAATATCCCTTTCGTACTCATTTGACAGTCATTTACATCATTTTCGATGGTATACTCGAAAAAGAGTTTGCTTTTGGTTTTAAAAAGGTTGCGATTATGGGATTTTCCAAGACCATGAGATATCTGTTCAAATAGCATCCTATCTGCTCGTTTATTAATGCTTCCTATGTGGTATATACTATAGTACAAATTTATTATAAAACTTTATGAGGCTAGTTTAGTATCTTCTTAATGACAAGGAGGAATATATGATGCATACTGAGTGAGAGAGGAGTATACAGCTTGTAGTTTGCAAAATCTAAATGCAAGTGTAACGGCAGGTTGTGCTCACAATCTTCCGGGAATTGAAAAACTGTTTTGGAGCCAAAAGGGAAATTTTGTTTAGATATAACACTTGCAAACGTAATAGGCCACCAAACAAGTGAAGGAGAGGATATTTTGTAGTTAATTTGTACCGACCTCAGTTTTTCCTGGCCGTCGGAAAGAAGTTCATTTACATGCTGTCATCCTGGTATGAATGGACTATCTACGGAGTATTCTGTATGGTAAGCATCCTTACAAACCCAGATATACAATGCATTTCAAAATTTTCATTAACATTTCAGGAGACAGATCGCTTACTCTAAATCGTTACGTGCGCTCGCATTCAGAAATCAAGCATAGCATTTCGCGGGAGCAGAAATTTAGCAAGTGAACATTTAATCATTGAATATTTACTTTATAAAGAGGTATGTGTGGGAAAAATCGGTAAACATTGGGGTGCAATTTGATCGTCGAAATGCACTGTTTGTTTAATGTTAGAGCTCTCAACGGAAGACCTTCATTACGTACAATCAGGCGAAAATAGTTTAAGGAGGAGATACAGATGTTTAAGAAACATATTTTAGGCGAACATTTTGATCAAAACAACTTGATGCCGAAATGTGTGTGAGGAGGTTTAACACTATCTCGCGAGTTAAAATTGAAGAGGACAGTTCGGAGGGAAACGCTGCTTTGTACAATAAAGATGGAAGGATAGTCTTAATTCCGCATGAATTATACCAGTAGTGCTTTACAGGCTCAAGTGAGCATAAACCGCTGATAGTGAAAATGTCCGTACGCAGACTTCTTAGAGAATATATTTCAGTTGACAGCTGCAAACCCATTCTGAAGTCAGAGTGATGTGACTCCATGGCCGTTGGTTTAACTTGTCGGTCATAAGCGAACTAGGTGTTTGCATCAAATTGTGATTCGTATGTCTTGGAACAAAGATCATTTTAAATTCCGTAACTTTTCAAATCGCAAATTAGATTATGTTGACTGTTTTCCTTGTTCTCTTCAGCTCGAAAAAGCTCATACGGAGTTTATGGAATGAACCTTATGACTAAATATCACTGAGATCAGTGAAGAAGAAGAAGAAGAGTCGAGCACCGGAAGTGTTCCGGTGCTCGACTCTTCTTCTTCTTCACTTATGCATACACCTGGAACTCGAAATTTTGCCTTCATCACTGACATCCTCATACCCCATAAATGGGAGCAAATTTGTCAAATCTTTGAGAGAATCCACGAAGAACCTCCGTCCAAGTAGATTAGCTCGGAAAAATCGCAGTGTTTTTAATGGATGCTAGTGTACCTGCCGATATTTATATACAGCTGTATATAATGGATCTTATTTGAAATTTTCTCACAAAATCTCTCAGAGGTAACGTGACGCTGACCAAATCTCGAAAACATGCAAGTCCGGATATAGGCACTACGCGCTCCAAATTTTATTTCAGATTTTCTTGCCTACTTTTTGAAGCAAGTAGGCAACGAAATGGCATCGAATATGTGCCTAAGCTGATAAGTTCTAGCTATGCTTTAGAAACTATAGTTTCGAGGGATACCAACTGATGATATATCATTTTTTGGCTGGCGTCATTTTGCAAGATATTTTTAATGAATCTTTGCTAGCGTATGAGTTAAGTTTCCTACAACTGTAGTAAGCGTTCAAATACAGAAACATGTTCAGCGATGTTTCTGGCGTATAAACCGCCTTGTTATGAAGAAAGTCCCATTTTCCAAACGGCTATATTATTAAATCATATAATGATTCGGATACATATACATTCTACTTATGAATAAGGGCTTTTAAGAATCGTGAAAAACCAGTAAAAACAAGTAGCGACCATCTTACTCTTTTTCGCAATTTTTGACAGGTGTCTTTGATTAATTTACATGCCGTTAGATTAAATTATCATTTATTTTCCGCCTTTATCCAGCTGCATAATGGAGTAAACGAAGTAGCTGGTCGGAGATAAATAATGGTTGATACTTGGCATTGTAGACGTATGTAGTGATGCGAAGGGTGTTAAGGTGTCCAGTTGGGGATACACCGCACAACTCTTGACTGACACCCAACTCTCATCTGTAGTTCTGTCTAGTGAGCATGTCCCCGTAACTCCTTTACCGGCGGCTAAACCAGGCAAGGGTATCCGGTGTTGCGTGTTTCCATGCCCCGTAATTCTGTTCCCTCTTCCTAGTCCTCCCCTCGCTTCCACTTCAAAGAGTCCTACGGAGAAGGCGACATGCAATCCCGTGGGCGGTCTAGACTAACTCGGGTCGCTCTTCTAGTAAATGAGGCCCTGACCAATATTTGAGTACAGCCGTCGTCTGGGACGCCTAAGCGGTTCTCTTTAGGGACAGCACTGCCTAACCTCTCGCGGGGAAGAAGCCAGAAAAGTGCCCTAAACAAATGCTAGGAAGTCGTGTTATGTGCAAGCAGAACGTAACTCGTAAATATACAACTCACGGTCGAAGCAATCAAAAGTGCAAACAACTTCTGTTCCTATTCTTTCTGTCGCACAACACAGGCTACTAGAGTCGCTCTGCTCACTCTGGCAGCCTAGAATTTTCGTTCTGTCTAGACATTTCGCTGAGCAATCGACCGGAACGAAGGACAGCGATAGTCATTCAAGATTAGATAGATATCGTGGCTCTCTGCGAGATCCGATTCTCTGGACAGGGTTAGCTGCAGTAGGTGGGTGCCGGCTACACCTTCTTCTGGGGCAGTCGCCCCAAGGCAGAATGACGCGATGCGGGTGTCTCCTCTGCCATCCGGGATGGCATCATGGGACGGCTGTCCTGTCTGCCACAGAACACCAACGACCACCTCATGATCCTGCGCCCTCCGCTTCAGGAGCTAAATCCCCCCCCCCATATCGTCAGCGTTTACGCCCCCCCCCCCTCCCGATGACCAGCTCCAATGAGGCGAAGAACAAGTTCTACAAAGACCAACACGTTCTCCTGGCGACTGTGCCGAAAGCGGACATGCTGGTTATCCTTGGTAGCTTCAGTGTCCCCTTTCAGAGAGACCACGCTGCCTGGGAGAGAGTGCCGAGTAACCATAGTCTCAGCGATTGCAACGAAAAAGGCCTTCTTCTTCTTCTCTGGACCTGCGCAGAATACCGTCTCCTCTCCACCAACATCTTTGCCTGCCTTCGGACGCGGAAGAAGATATGCTGGATGCATCCCCCATCGCGGCTCTGCATCTGCTGGACTACATCCCGATCAAGAGGCGAGACTGCCAAGACCTGCTGGTAACAAATGGGATCTGTGGTGGGGACGACTGGACGGATAATCGCTTCATAATCTCCAAGATGAGGCTCTGATTGCAACCTCGCAGGAGACCATACGGTAAATGATCACCATGTAAGTTAGATATTTTTCTTTTGAATTTGACTGCCCACCACTTCGATTTTAGCAGTCAGCTGGCCCAGCGCCTGGAAGAAACGCAGGCTTCGGCCGACGGCGCCACCATGGAGACACAGTGATTTTAGCTACAGAGCGCAATTCAGTTCAGGCCATGAATGTTCCGGGTCGCACATGCCGTCAGAACCAAGGTGAGTTTGACGTCAGCGACACAGGAATCACCGCACAACTTACCGAGAAGAATAGACTGCACGAAACCTACATCATCCGTCAGACCGACACAAACAAACTGGCCTTTCTCAGATGTCGCCGCTTGGTTCAGCAGCAGCTGCAGGAGATACAAAATGAATGAATAGATCACAAGTCCAAAGAAACCCACGGATACGCGGGCTGTAATTATATGAAGAATTTCATTGTCTCTGTCAGGGAAGTCTACTGTCCCCACACCAAGCGAATCTTGTCGCTACTCAGTTACGGAGTAAAAACACTCCTCGTCGAGAAATAGCAGATTCTGAAGCGCTGATGTAAACATTTCAAAGCTCTCCTCAGCCGCCCGTTCACAGTCTCCAACACCGCCATCGACCGGCTCCTCTATTTGGAAACTAACAACGCCGTGGTCCTCCTTTCTAGAAACCATCAGATCCATACAACAGGTCTCCAGCAGGAAAGCAGTGGGATCCGTCGAACCTCGCTGGTGAACCAACTTAAAACGACACTCCAGGGAATGTGGCACGAAGGATAAGTTCCTCATGCTTTCAAGGGCGCGATAACTGTTCATCTCTACGAACCGAAACGGAACCGGAAACTGTGATAATTGCTGAACCGGTTCCTCAACATTACAGGGCAGATTTTTCCCACACACATTTCTATCGACTCAATGAACATCTGGAACAAGGCCATGTGATTTTCAAACGACTCCGTGGAGCAACCCACATGATCTCCACGACCCACCAGCTATGACAGAAGTGCCCCGAAATGTAGGCCCATCTCTACATTGCGTTTTCGAAGTTAAAGACTGCCTGTGACACTGTGAATCAAGATAGATTCTGCAGAATCATGCAGAAATTCGGTTGATATGAGCGATTCATGTACATGGCGCGTCAGCTTCACGAAGAAATTTTGGCGCATCGCAGACAATGGAACAGTTTCGGAAGCATTCTCAGCAACCAATGGAGTGGCGCAGGCCTGCGTACTGACCCCCACTCTCTTTATCATCATGTTCACCTCCATGCTGTTCGTCGCCCACCGTGATTACCGCCCTGGGATCAACATCGTCCACACGACCGACAACCGGCTTCTCAACATATTCCGAATGTGGGAATTCACGCGGACGTCCACAATCCCTACGCTCGAACTCGTCTTCGTGTACTTACTGTCACGACCGAAGCAGAAGTGCAATTAAACACGGACCTCCTCGACTCCGGTTGCATAAACTTTGGGCTGGCCATCAATACGGACAAAACAGGGGTCATGTACCAATTAACACCAGAGCCGGAACACACAGCAGCCACTATTAGCCTTAATGCACCCGACTCACGTAAGTGGACAATTCGCCCACCTAGGCAGCACACTCTTATGGAACGTTTGGATCGACGGCGAAATGGCCTACTGGGTCTCTAAAGTCAACCAGACGTTTGGTCGACTACAGGCCTCGGTCTGGAATCGTTATGAACATCACCTGAACATAAAACTCGGGGTGAATAAAACAGTAATCCTGACGACACTATGTTACGTGACGGAAACCAAGACCATCTACAACAACCAAGACAGGGTCTTCAATCATTTTCACCCCAACTGCCTCTGGTAGATAGTAAAACTAAGGTGACAGGACAGGATCCAGGACAGAGAAGTTCCGAAGTAACCCGGAATCCTTAGCGTTCACGCTATGCTGGGGTAATTACACCTGCGCTGGTGTTGCCAGTCCGTGAGGATGAACGATGATCGATTGCCTAAACGATTCTCCTAAGACGACGTCGCTATGGCTACTCACTGACAAGAAGGGCAAAAACGACGCTACAAGGACACCCTGCGGACCTCCCTTTAGGATCTGCAAATCAGTCGGGCTGCCTGAGATGACTTTGGCCAGGATCGAACAGCCTGAAGAAGAGTGGTGAAAACTTGAGCAGTAATCTACGAAACCAACTGGAAAAGTTCAAGCGTCTCCGTCCAACAACTTCGCTACCCAACCCCTCATATCGTGTTCTTGCCCTCAAGGGACATTCCCCATGGATCGGCCTCGTCGGACATTTTCAGACCCAATACAAGAGCGGCAATAAAACCTCACCTGCTGCCTCCGCAAAGGTCTCTACCGTGTCATCTACAACTAACCCGACGACGACCGCCACGTCTCCTCCCAATGCCCAGCTGCAGCCGCCGCCGCAACCCACAAACCCCATCGTCATTGTCACAACCCACCGCAGTGGCGACTACCACTCATTCTACTCCACCACCGATGAGGACACTTCCGTCACTCATCACTCTCCCCGTCATCAAAACCACCACCACCCTCACTAGCAATGTGGGCTCGATCTCAGCTTGTCCGCGTTTCCATCACACTTTCACATCAAGAATTGGTCTGGTCGGTCACTTGCTAATCAACCACACAGAGACCGTCAAACCAGTGCCAGTGACACCAACAAACACCTGTTGCACCCGCCAAAACTGTCCACATTGCCTACGGACATTTAGTCACCGAATAGGCCCTACTCGGTTGGGTTCACCTCCATGCTCATCTCTGGTAAGACCTCGCTTACCGATCTCCATCATCACATAGTTCCACCTAGCCATGAACCCATCAAAAGCCATTCTCCTCGGGCGCAGAACAGGCTACTCTCACATGGACAGGGAACGTGTTCTCAGCTCCTTCTCGGTGTAACCTCTACGGCACCACAACGCAGGTGGAATATGAGATGTCCACTCCCCTTATGTTCAAATCTAGCGTGTTGTGCGTGGGGCAGGTTTTGTGTGGCACGTACAGACGGGTTGTTCTAGTACTGGCAGTCCCTACGTCCAATCGCACCCTCAGAGACTAGACCGGCTTAGACAATGGACTGGTGCACGGGAGAGGGAAGAGACAGTGAGGCCGACTCTGGGAACTCCGTCCCTGTAGCACTTCAGCCTATCTATCATTACAATAAAACTGACGCGCTGAATCCAGCACGATGTCATAACTGTCGTGGCTTGAATGGTTGTCAAGTGCCGGTCAGTCAGTCCAGCGTGTGTTTGTGCTAAGCGACTGGCTGGTGGAATGAGAACCAAGTTCAACGGCACCTTCTTCAGGTGGCCTCTATGACATTCGCACTCAGCTGGAATTCGATTCGCCCTTTGCTGGTGTTAATACCTGGTCCATTATGCGTGGACCAGGCGTGTGTGCCACGTGTGGACAGGCTGTTTAGCTCTGTCAGCCGCTGCGTCCGTTCTCACCCCCAGTCCTCTTGGCCCATTTTTGGCACCAGGCCTAGGTGAGTGAGGGATGAGTGAGTGAAATACATGCGGTGTAAGTCTGCTACCATTATAAACAAATTTAAGCGCAAGCCACTGTTCGTACGCTCACCTTGCTGTAGGATACACGCCGAAAGCACCAATTGACATTTCGTTAGTTGTGACGCAGAGAAGCCTATACTGAAATACCCTTCATCGCGGAAAATGGGCGCATTCTTCACAAAACTAAGTCTGATACGAATAAATCAAAAATGACGCGCCAATAATCTTGGCATGGAAGCTTGCCGGCTGGTGGAATAACTCGATCCTCCACTGGTATGTCCACTTCAAAGTGTGGCCTGTATTAAATCTATAACTTTCGTGGGATAAAAGGTCGTGTATGGCGTTTAATGGACGGCGGCTTCAGAACAGGTCATCTATTGCGTTCATTTAATGCTTTATTGGTCTGATTTGGGCAGACCACTGATGTACGGAAGGGGGATGAACAAGTGCGAACGATCCAACGCGGCTGAAAGATCCCACTTAACTGTCGGTAGACTCTGGATCGTGTCAAATAGGTTTTGTCTTGGTATCAATTTGCAGGCCGTTGCAGACATTATATCGCCAGCAACAACTACTTCCCATGACCTCAAACCATTATTCAGACTGCGATATTCTTTGAAATTTGCTTTTTTATTTTTTCAATCAACACGCTTATTTCCGTTGCCAAAAGAAAGCGTACCATAAGACCTTCGGCAGAAATTCAAACCATTTCTGTGTTTTACTGCATTTCGTCAGCTTACTGTCTGGCGTCCTGCCCCACCCGTAAAACCCCCATTACTACATGATACGATCCAGTCTACGGACAGTTAAGTGGGGATCTTCACTCTACCGTTGTCAGTTTCCTTATTAAAATCAGTCTAATGTTCAGTTTGAACTACTGGCCAATAATGAATATACGCGAGTCTCTAAAACCTGTTAGGTTGCTGGAAAGGAACAAGTGACGCCCTGTGGCACGCTTATTTGGGAGTGTATACTCGATTTTCTTTCCTTAACACAGCGCAGCAGCTCAGCTGCGTCAAAAGTCTTCCGGCAACTTAACCCTAGAAAGTCAAAATGTTCACTGTCTAATGACATCATGTGTTGCAGAAAAACGGGACAAGTCCCGGATAAGATGCTGACGGAATGAGTTACAAGTATCCATTGCGGGGCAGCTTGGCGGACAATAAGTTCTCATTACTTATCTGCCCGTTCTACACAACATGTGCCTGTAAAATGACCAAGCCAAGCTCTAGTTGCAACGTCGCCTATGTTTTCTGATGTGCAAATGTTTTCTACTGGCTTAAATGGTAGTAGAAATGTTTGAGTGGTCGTCGCTGGTGTGGCGTCTAGCCATAGAGGCCTTATGAGGAAAACCGCCCCGTGATAAGCGGACATTCCTCCTTTGAGAAATAGGATTGGCGCTTCCAAGTTTTATTCCAAATTCTATCTCATGGCGAGACGACTTACCAGAATTCAGATATTCATTTCCGTAAACTCCCGCGATCTTTTATCCTTCTTACAGCAAAAAAGGCGAGTAGTTCTGTTAAGTCACGGAGCTAATATAGGAGAGCTTCAACCGAATGCCAAGGAGGATATGAATGAGACATTTGGAAACTTACCGAGTTTACCAATCTGCATGGACTAGGATGCTAAAGCCCAGTCTTCCGAAAAGAAGACCTGTGTTGCAGAGGATGGGGTGTTTAATTATATTTTGAAAATTCCTGTGCCTTTAATTTAGCTGCTAACCTTATTCGCTTGTGCTATTAAATGTCGGCCTCTTTTCGAATTGCCCTCACGTTACTTTCAATGAAAATTAATAACAACAGTTAACTATAAAACACAAATATAAGGTCATTTCGACTTTTTCTCTCCGATGATTTTCGAGGTTTTTCCCTCTTGTTGCCTTCTGGACTCTTCCGTTGACGTAAGACATTTTCTTACATTAACTCTTTATGTCTTTCCAATGGGACAGACTTGGCTTCCGATACCGGTCTTCGGACCAATCCTCAGTATCTGGGTACATAGTTAGGCCTGACTCAGTTGCTTGGACTGAGGTCGAATTTGTAAATCCGCGATTCTTGAGAGTCTTTATAATAGACACCACTTAAGAGCCTTCTTCTTGGAAGCACACAAACTACAACCGAATAGTGCTGCACTTGCATGTGAAAAATGCTAACCCGTGACATTCCGTTTTTAGCCCGCTGTCCAGGAAGAAAAGGTAAGTACATATGGGAAAAGAACGGGCGGTTGATCACCAGTCTTGCCCAGAAGGCACTGGAAAGTTGTTGTTCAGGCATATCCATGCTTTGTCTGGGT